CATATTTATAAATATGAGCATAATAGTGTAGAATAATCATATCCAAGGACCAGTGGTGGGTTTCAAAAAAGTTTGGAACCTCTTCTGTAGGTGTGGCAAGCTTTTCGGGTCCACTGGTGGAACCTCTTCTAACCGGTTCCGTAGATTTGACGAACCGGTTCTACCGAATAGTGCGAACTGGCTGAATCCCACCACTGATACATACATACATACATACATACATACATACATACATACATACATACATACATACTTTCATACAGAGGCAGGCAGACAGACAGACAGACTCCCACTGAGGTACACTGGGGTGAATGTGACCATTGAACTCAGGTCTCTCCAATTCCAGTCGACTATTTTTCCACTGCTTTTCCATATCAGGCAAACCTAGCCATTAATATTGGCACAATTTTGGAGCTAGGGAGCAGAAGCAGGCTTATTTATGACCAATTTTCATTCCTTGATCGTTTTCTGAGGATAGAATTGAATATTGAAGAAAGCTTTGCAAGTTTTTCTCCCAGTGTTTTAAAATTCAGTTGTTTAGTAGCTATTTTTGCTTATCATGCAACAGCCCTCCATCGTCTTCTTCATGTCCCTTCCGCCTGCCTCCGAATGAGGATTTTTGACATTTTTTTTTCCTTCTGCCTTTGACTAGCTGGAGTTTGTCATCCAAATCTAGAAGTTAATCCTATTTCATTTGGCTTAAAGAAAGCTCTTCAGGGACAGTGCTCAGAGAAGACTTTTCTGAAGGCCAACAGCATTAATCTTCAGAACTGTTTGCCTGTTCACATACCATCCAAACAATTTCCAAGCAAAACTCAAAAGCATACATTTTCAAACTTCAGCTTTTGACCCAGGCAGAAGGCTATGAGCCAGGGGTGGGTTTCAACCGCTTCGCGGTGGTCCCTGCAAACCGGGAACGGCGAAGGGCCCACCCGCGCGCCTGCGCTCCTTACCCGGTTTTGACGAGTTCTGCGCTTCCACNCATTTCACCCCTTTCACTGATCCTCTAACTTTAGGAGAAAGTTTTTGTACCCATCAAACTTTAAAATTTATAAAGGTAGAAAAGATTTCAGCTTGTTTTAATCTTTCATTCATTCTCTGTTTGCTTAAATGTGTTTGGATTACGCTGGTATTTTAATTCTTTTTTCGGTATTCTTACTCAAAAAAAATGTGTTGTAGAAAGACATGTATTGTTGATAAACATCTGTCTCTTACCGAAAACATTTTTAATGTTATTACTTTTTTTAAAGGTAAAATTAAGGATCTGCTTCCTGATGGCTCACTTTCCAAAAATACTGCATTAGTCTTGGTAAATGCTATATATTTCAAAGGAAAGTGGAAGACGGAATTTAATCCCAAGCACACACAAGAAGCAGACTTTTGGACCAGTAAGGTATAGTTCCTGAAAAACCCATGAGAATGAAAATGTATCAGTTGCTGCACAATTGAATTAAACAACTAAAAATAACCATTTTGTTGAACATTTGGGAAACATAAAATCCTTGTTTATACAATGAGCTTTGTCCTGCACCAATAGGATCTGAAATGGAAATCTGTTATTATAGCTGGCAATTGCAATCAGTATTTCATGTTATGATTTCTCACGTTATTATTGCTTTATATTAAGCATTACTTTATTTGTTATAGGAGCACCGCAAAAAAGTGCAAATGATGGTTCAAATGGGCAGATTTAATTATGCTAAAATAACAAACCCACCAATGGAAGTCCTTGAGATGCCCTATGACAAGAAAGAGCTAGGTATGGTCATCCTTCTACCGGACGAGAATGGAACCACAAAAGAGGTAATCTGAGTTCTGAAATCATTCAGAAAGAGATTCAAATGAACTTGATATGCATCGTTGGAATAATTTTATTGCTAAGAAAGGCCTCGGATTACATATTCTTAAGTGGTTCCCAAATGTTAATTATGATTTTTTTCTCATTCATTTTCTCATTCCCTATTTTTTCTCATTCATTTCTTATTTTGACAAACACAAACACACAGACACACACACACACACACATACCAGTGGTGGGATTCATTTTAGATTTGGCTTGTGCTGCTAGGTGTCTTGAAGCTCCCTTCTTTAAAACCATCCTGCAAATTGTTTTTTTTAAAGAAAGAAATATTTTTGCAGATATATTTGCTGTTTACTTATTATGAAGGAATAATGCTATAACGGGAAGTAACAGGAAGTCATATTTTAGTCTTTCTTAATTCCCTTTTTCCAAATATCTTTTTCATCCATGTACACGCTCACAATGGCTCCCCTTTACCCGACAGATTGCGAGGCAACTCACTTATGAAAAATTTCGAGAGTGGACCAGTTCAACAGGCATGCAGAACACATCGATCAGGGTTTCCCTGCCAAAATTCAAGGTGG